TGGGTGACCATTGTATTCTTGGCAATTACTCAATGAAAACACTTTTTTTAAGAAGAAAAAAAACCTCCCTTCACTAAGGCGATCTTTTGAAATTAGTGTTCTTCTTTCGAAAAGAAAAGGAGAGGAAAAAAAAACGAGTTAAGAATAGAGTAATTAAAGTTAATTCTTGAAAGGCTCCGACGTGATAAAAGAAAGTGTTTGGTACTTTGAATTTATAATTTCTTTCCCATTCTGAAGAGAGTCTGTTTAATTCTGTTAGCTAGCTACTTAAAAGCTCTAATCAAATTCTCGCCAAGATGGTCGGATTCTGTTGGTTGGCGAATGTGCTTGTCTGTCCTCGGGGCTTCGACTTCTAATCCATTTAGACAATTATTCAATATATATGATTCTAGAAACTTATTATGATGAAGTTCGTGTATTAATTCCCGTACGGATGCCTGCTAATTAATTTAGAGATTCCCTAAAATGGTACCTCTGTTCCTCACTTAAAGTTAGGAAGGGCAGGAATTAGTGGATGTACCTCGCACTTTTGCTCAAAACAACGTTTATTATTTTTTATGATTATTATTTCAACAAAAAAAAAGTTATAAAAAATCAAATTATCTTCCTACTTTCGTCTTCTTTAAAGGAATGGTTGGAAGTAATCGAATTAGAATTAGCCAAGTTAAAATGAAGGGAATGAAATGTGAAAAATGTAAATATTTCATATCTTATAACAGATAAAATAGGCTCATTTCCTAATATAGTAATCTTTTAATTTACATAAATTTTGATTTAGAAAATATCTAAGTGTTATTTACGTTTTAAGACAGGCACCTCTTTTGTATTTATGGATTGCTCACGTGGTTGATTTTTGATTTATGAAATTGTTCCACCCATTGTTCCCAATTGGTTCTGAAGTCAATTAGATGTTCACTTATGTTCTCTATATAATGATTGATTAAGCAGAATTGTAGATAGATGGATACCAAATTGACAGGGCAGTTACAGCAGTCAATGCACAATGCTGACCAAATTACCACCACCATGCTGTTGATCAATAAATTGTGATACCTTATCTTTAATATGACCCCTTCAGCCAACAACTGGCTGTTGCTTCATTTCCTACTTTTTTACATTACAGAATATGGTGTGCAAATCAAAAATGACTGTTAAACGTGCAATATCATATGTGAACGACTATTTATGAGCATTGCGCTGATAAGCGTTTAATTTGGGATAATAATTGCTTTATCTTCTACCAGATCAAAATTATTATAATACTTAGCTTCCATGGAATGTTTTCAATGCAATTCAGAATTCAAGTAAGTGGATTGCCAAATACCAATGAAAAGTGGTGAGCTGGTTACGCTACCTATATACTGGTTCATCATGGCGGAACATTGAAGCGTTGTCTAATGAAAGTGAAAACTAATTATTGAAAATCTTTTTTTTTTAAATAATAAATAAGAAAGCGTGTGAAAGTAATGACATTTCAATTATCAACGCTGACAGCAGAGCAATTTCTACATTGTTTATCATTTGACGAGGAATAATAATCAAGTTTGCCGGGAAATAATAAGGCGTTTTTACTTTTATTTTAGATTTCACATTGATGAAGTGCCTAATTTCATTGCTCACTAAAAATATTAACCAGTACAAAATATTAACCAACACAAAAATCTAGATACCGCCTTTCCTGTTGTTATTGTAGTAGTTTAAAATAAATTAGTTTAGTTGTGGAGATTGACTACTATCAATAGGTAGTCAATCTCCACAACTCGTTAAAGGTTCTCACTCAATTTTAGAAATAAAATTCTCTAGTTTTACAAGAAAATTCCAGATCACATTTTTGGTGTTCACGGCAATATTTTAACGGAATAATTTTTTTCTTTAATCAGTAAGCTGTAGTAGGGGAGAGTGGGGTCAATTGTAACATTTTTTACTTAAATATTTTTAACTAACAAAAAATCCAATATATTATTAGTATTAATTGACAGTCGAGTAAAGTGGACTATCCTCTACTAGAAAAAAAAAATAAATACTTTATTTTAAATGTAATTATATTAGTTATTAACAATTTTCGACAGTCGTGCACTTGTTACAATTGTCCCCACTTACGGGGTCAATTGTAACAGTTCATAAATTCAACTAAAACATAGTTAATTATACATATTATCATAGTTGTGATATATTTTTTTATTGATCAAAATAGTAGTGATATTTTAGGAGTAAAAATAATAATGAACAGAGACCTAAAGGGTTAAACTTTTAACTTTAAGGGGTTAAAAATTTTAATTTATGCTGTGAAAGGTGACAAATAAAATAATGCACATGCAACATAATATAAATGATGTAGGAAACTATTGGTGATTCTTAAAGAGTTAAGTAATGGTTTGTAAACATAAGAAATGGGACCTAAGGGGTTAAACAATTGCAATTGAAATTATGAATTCTATTTTCAGCTGTTACAATCGTCCCTTTACTTATTGTTACAATCGTCCCCATGACGCCATTTCAGCTTCATTTGTTAAAAACAATGCTAGTTAATTAACAAAACTAATCTTTTTTTTTTAAATGTTAATTAAGGTGTCCACTTACATATTCGGTTAATAATTTTTATTTGTTTAAACAAAATTACTTTGTTACAATATAATATTCTAATACCAAAAAAAGTACTTACGTAGAGTGAAAATATCTTTTGTGATGTAACTTTTCCAAAAGTACATAAAAATGGTTGCCAGCAGGGGTGTACATGTAGATTTATTAAATACACATTGTGCGCCACCTAGAAACCAAATTTAGAACCTGACACTCGAAATTTTTGCTCTGTTACAATCGTACCCTGTTACAATTGACCCCACTCTCCCCTACTTACTGAAATAAATAAATAGGCCAAATACAATTTTTGTAAAAAATTAAATTCTGAGTTAAAAATAATTAATTCAAAACTAATATTAAACTAAACTCAGTGGCTCGACAGCCCAAAGAGGGCCAAGGCCTACTGTGCCCATCTCAGTTTTCTTGACCTTGGGCTCTGGGGTGCAGGAGCAGATGTTCCGGTCAGGTGGTCAGCCGAACGCGAAACCCCCAGTGTTTAGTTCCCAAGCATGCTTGGTACTCATTTATCGACCCACTGAAGGGATGAAAGGCTGAGTCAACCTTGCCCGGCCCGAGGATCGAACCAAGGACCTGTGGCACGACAGCGCGAAGCGCTACCGCTCAGCCACCGGGCGTCCAAAACTAATATTATCGGGAGATTTAAGCTGACTTATTTAAATGACAAAATATCAAATTTACTTGCAAGGCATCTACAGAATTATTATTAGCATGTTTAACTTAAAATATTTAATATACAATTGTAAACGTTTTCTGTGTGGAAGTTCCTAAAATCTTTAAATATTTCCCGCATTTGAGAGGTTAGACTATAAGAAGCTAATCATGGAAATTCACTTTCATTAGTAAGTATTTAAATTTCATAAATAAAAATTAAATGCATTTTTATGCCAGGTAAAAATAGGCAAGATTTTACAAATTACTAATTAATTAAGCAAAGTTGACTTAAAAGCAGGGCTGTTTGTAATGTTTCTAGCTAATGAGAATATTTATCTTCATCATAGCTTCTTTACTCAACCTTATTGTTAAAGAATTCATAAAATCATTATCTAACCGTCAAAAAAAAAAAATTTAAAGTAGTTATAAAATTATTTCGAAATTTTATAATTCCTAGTTAACCAGAATTGAAATTCTGTATTCCTTTCTAAGGCTTATCTGCTATCTGTTCTGTAACGTTTGCCCTTCAAATATATATTTTAAAAATCCGTTTTGAAAATAAAGTGAAAAGATCTATATATATATTTCTCTTACACGGCGACAAAAAAAAGCCTCATTACAACTCCCCGAATGGCAACGCTGGAAAATCGACCAATGATTGCTGTTAAAAATGTCACATGCCATATCTAGCCGAGATGGCTCAACATATAGCGCTTTTAAAAACGGAAACTGAAATAACCAGAGAGAGCATAAGCTAGGCAGAAGTGAGTAGTCTTTGTCGATAGATCTCTATTTTAGTATTTTGTCGAAGGCGCTTTTTTTTCACGAATTTATTTGACGATTTTTGATTTATATCACGAATTTATTTGTTTTACTAGAATTTATTTGTTTATGCATGTTTTTCCATTGCAATTCACTTATTTCAATTTTAAATAGACTTAATTATTGTTAACCTTTTTAAAGAGATATCAGTTTCAGAAATTTTATCTTAAGATTTTATACTATAGCACATTTCTAATAGGTTTAACGAATTACATGCCATTTATTTGAATTCAAATTTATTTTAATGACTTAGTATTTACTAAAACGATGTTTTTTTTTTTTTTTAAAGTTACATGGATTTGAATGATTGTTTTGAATTCTAAGAATTTTGTGCATTTGCAATGTACCTAAGTTAGTGCGAGCGAAGCAAATCATATAAGTTTGCGTAGCAATTTTCGGGGGTTGGCGAGCATCAGTGAGCAGGGGGCACAGCCCACTAGTATATAAAGTTAGGCGTCAGAAACTATTATTTAAACTAGGGTAAAACATAGACGATACCAAAATTCTCTTAATCACTGCTGGGAAAAGCAGAAGTGAGATTATCGAACCCCATTTGATTGCCGGAGAAAACAGCGAGAAGTTAGGAGGAGATTTTAAGAAGCACCTTCGAGTTTCATCAGGCAATCAAACTCATTTTGAAGTACATCAACCCACTTTCATCACTAATGTTTCATTAATTTCCATAGCTTTTTTGTCTCTTTCTTGCTTTATTTATTAATCAGAGAACTATAATGTACAATTTTTACTGTGTATTTGACATTGACAAGGATTCTAAAATTATGCATTAAGTGGAGTGATTACGTAATACCCAATTTCCTAAGCATAATAGTATTTATGCTTAGAAACAAATTAAGTCCTATGAATGAAACATGCATTTTGCAAAAAAAAAAAAAAAAAAAAAAAAAAAAAAAAAAAAAAAGAGACGGTTTCACTATCAAATAGTAATGTTTATTTTATATATAGATATATATATATTTACTTTTTACAAAATAACAATGACGATAATTTCCGAAACATTATTCAATCATTTTGTCACCTTTTATACAAATATATATAATCAACTATACAGCAAAAAAATCAAAACAGATCAACAACTACGTAAAAATGAAAAGCAATAAAAATTTGTTGATCAGCATTACGTATTATCATTGTCTTAAAACAAAATTGCACATATATGTCTTTCTTATTATATTTTAATGAGAAAAAAAAGTAAATTCAAAGGTTCAGTCAGGAATCAAGGAAAGCAATTATTTGAAAAAGGCTTTTAAAGCAAAGTAAGTCAACAATACATATCCATATACCCTGCCTTAATTTTTTTGGGAACATTTTCAGCGCCATAAAAAATATTATAATTGTAGAAAATTAAAAACTTTTTTTTTATTTTAAGAATACATATGGAACTAAAGCATTAGCACCCAGATGTCATATATTAGCACTAAGACAATGAATAACTCTCCATTTTGTACAATGAATACAAAAAAGTTCATCTATTTATAATTCATTTCATGATATTTTGAAGATGATAATCATAATCTTATGCCTAATAAAACGTATATCACATTATTTGCCACAGTTTATATTCTGCATATTATATGAAATATTACATAATCACTATATACAAGCAGCATGAAGTTTCCATCCTGCATAAAGCTCGATAACTATTTTAAATATTTTTTTGACTATCAGCTGAAATTATCATAAACAATTCTTCAAGACCATTAAAGTTTTTGCCAGTTAAATGAAGCATCTTACATGAAAACAGCTAAGGAACAATTCAGTATGGCCTCCATAGACCTGTTTCGGATTGTCCGTGGCCGTTTGTGGTGGAACCATAAATAGTTCTACCATTGGATGGCGTGGAACATGATGTTTGAGTTTGGTGAGTTGGCGAACTTGGCTGACTGGTGCCAACTGGCGATAAAAGATTGTTGACGGAAGATGGTGAACTTCCATTAACACTTGCAACACTACCCGTAGAACTTTCTCGAGAGCTGGTATGCAAAGTTTCTTCTTCGTTTCTAATAGAAGGTTCTGGAGATCTTAATAGATCTGAGTTACTGTTACCCAGCAAATGAATTGAGGTATGTAGCTGATTATGAGCAATGCTGTTGTAAAGCTGAGGATACATTAGTGAATGTGGTACTACAGGTGGATTCAAATACATTCCAGCAGCACCAGGAGCATTGCAACCGTTACCATTGTAGTAAGGATGAGACGATAGCAAACCATAACTGCTGTGGTTTACTGGCAGGTAAGGAGGACTACCTGCATTTCCTGCCAAGAGTGCGACAGGATTATTGGATTGCTGTGCTGGATTGGTGACAGAATTGAGACCTTGGCGTAGCTCTGTAAGTCGATCTGACAGTCGAAGATCTGCATTTGCTGCTGCGGCAGCTATAGCATTATTGTACCTGGACATCAAGAGTGGGTCCGTTTTTAGCGCTAAACTTCCAGAGTGATCGCTAAGACTCGGAAAGGAGGAACTTGTGTTCGTTAAGCCTGTGGTAGGATCACCAAGACCTATAAGAAATTAATTTGTTATGGACAAGGCTGTAAATTGCATTTCTATGGTCAAATTTGAACTTGAAAATAAACATTCTACATTGAATACATCAGAAGCTTACCAGCAAGAGGTAATGTAGAGGAACATGAATCTTGAGATGTTGGAGAAACAGCGAGAGTGACATCCAAATTATACGGTGGAAAACCTGCTCCTTGAAGACTTGACGTTGAAGCTAAAAATGGGTATGGGTGACCCCAATGACCATCAGAGAGATACATAGAATCTATTTTAAAAAAAAGAAAAAAATTGACTCTTAACCATAGGTTTTTTAAAAATTTCAAAAAAAGTTATTCTTTACTTATTATATTTTGACATAAACTTAAAATCGTTGAAGAAGGTACTTATTAATTGTATTTCGAAAAGATGTGTAATATAAAATTCATAGAAACTGCATTTTTTACTTCAAAATTCATTCAGCAAACTCTACCATAAAATTAGGGAAAGAAAAGAAAACGGATAATATTTAATCAGATGAATTTTAACTATGATAATTCTTTTCAAAAAGTAACAGCTAAGCTAAGGACTTAGAGATTCATAGTATTCTCTTATATTTTGTTGTTAGAATAAAAAAACAAAAATACACAATAGGCATAGAAATAGTTTGTACAGTACTGTAAAAACAGAGAAATACATGAAGCATAATATTATAATAATATGTTATAGGAAAAACATCGATTTGGAAACATTCAATGAAGTAAAATAAAAAGCTGGAGCAGATTGAATAAAATATATTTTTTTATAAACTCAAAGTGTAGTTATGAAGTAACACACTTGTTTACTTAATGAAGGTATTCACTACCACTTTCTGTTGCCAACATGACTATGCTTAGATTATAATATTGTAAAAATTGGAATTCTTTTTTTCCTTTATTTATAACAGTAAGACCAAACCATCGATAGAAAATTATTAAGAATGCAACAAAGAAAATTCTTAAATAATATTTTCAGTTATAAAGCAAGCAAAACTTCTTTAAAGTCTTAACAAATTGAAAAATCCAGACAAGATATTTTTAGAAGAAAATAGCAGCTTTAAAATGATAAAGAAAAGCAATTCAGGAAAAATGGGAAGAAATCTTTTGTTTTTCCTCTTTACAAAACTGAATGTACGAAAAATACGAAATAAAAGTCATTTGAAAGAAGAAAAGAAAACCGTGAAAGATGATTGTTTTGCCAATATTCCCTCCTTAAGAATACTACTTAAGCGAGAGTGCAGCGGTACTTCTACTTTTGTGGTTAACCGTCCAGTGATAAATATCCACTCCTTACAACCACGGAACCATCCCATTTTCCTTGCCCTTTCGTGTAATGTTTTCTTATTTCTTTTTTTTTTTCTGCAACCTTCATCTGAAACAAAAACTGCAAAAACTTTTGTGCACAGGCAACAGGGAGGGTGCAGGCTTGCCAGTAAGTATCGTCTCCTGGTTGGTATGCCATAAAGGTGTAATTGGCATCTGCCGTTACAGGCCATTTGTTTCTGGACCTTCTGTCCTCTTCTTCTTCATTACATTCGCCATTTATTCTTGGAGGCTGTGTTCTTCTTCTTTGCTCCTTCTTCTTTTATTCCTCGTATTTATTTCCTTCCTTGCTTGATAGTGCAGGTACACATCGGCTCGGTTGACGAAATGACTTTTACGAGTTTTCGGGAGAAGATTCATTTTTGTTTCTGTTGTTTTATTTATAAGGAAAACAAAATATATTGTGTGTAGCTGCGGCGCAAAAATCAATGAGGATTCAGTAGATCAAGTTAAGTGACGCGAATTAGAGCTTTTAGGACTCTTTCTGTTTAAACTTGAATATGTTGCATTGCTCTTTTTGAGAAATAGAAGACTAGGGTTAATTTTGAATAACAATTTGAATCAAAAAATTAAGAAGTGAATGGTTTATTTCGTTGATATGATTACAATTTTTAATTATCTATAGCATTTAAACCAAAGACTAAACCTCTCAACGCCTTATTACCTTTTTTCAAAAAAGACAAAATCACTTGAGAAATCAAAGTGAGTGACAACCTTAGGGAAAAACACGAAGAAAAAAAACGAAATAAAGGGCCTACTAATATCAATGTTAAACAATTTACTTGGAAAATAATATATATTGTGTCTAGTTACGGGACAAAAATTAATGAAGGTTAGAGAGATTAATTAAGAGACACAAACTAGAGTTCAAACCAAGTTGCGTTACTGAATAAGTAATTCTCTGTTTGAGAGATGGATAACTGAAACTATTATTGAATAACAATTTGAATGAAAATTTAAAAGAGATGGAAATGAGAAAATTAAATGTGGTGTGTGTTGAAATGTGGTTAATCGAGACACTTTCGAGTTTTCTCAGGCAATAAAACTAGCTTTTATGTTTTCAATCCCGCTGTCCTTAGTAGTGATTCTTATCATGACATTTCTATAAGTTTGTTATTGCTGCATGCTTAAATAGTATTTGCAACTCCTGATGTATTTACTTTTTCAACTTCCTTTTTATCAAGGATTCTGAAAATCAACAGTAGGAGTGATCTTACAGAATAGTCTATTCTAGAATAAGATTGGTAATTTTTTCATAATACATACATGGCATTAAAATGGCATTGTTTAAATTTGATTTTTTTACAAAATATGTGATAATAAGAACTGTAATTTTCAAAACCAGAGTTTCCAGTCACCAAATGAACGGAAACACTACCATCTGAATGGTTTAAATACCATATATTTTGGTTTTATTAACCAAAATTATGGTTTATTTTTCTACCAGAAATGGGATCACGGTTCAGTACAGTAATTTTACCAGAATTTTTTTCTTCGTGTCTGGACTATCATTAATTGCTAAGATTATTATATTTTAAATGGGTAATTTGATAATTTTTCAAACATTTTTTCTTTTTAAAAATATGCAACAGAATTATACATAATTTCGGAAGTGAAACTTATTTTCACATATATCGTAAAACCAAGAAAAAAGAATCCAACTGACCTCTGCGTTGAAAGTCTAGTTGCCAGTGTTCGCTCTTTCTTCTAATGCTATCCCATTCACGCAAATCATGAAAGCGTGGATCCAAATAGGGTGGCCGATGACCGAACGCTGTAGCGAACGCCCTTAGCTGTTGCTGTTGCCCTACAAAAGAAAAGAAAGCAAACGTCATTACAATAACATAAAACCACCATTCATGAAAATATACGAGGAAAAAATACAATCCATGTTTATTATTATTTTAATTGGTATTATTATTATTATTAAATTTTAATAAGATATTTAAGTACGTAACTATAGATCTGGAAAACTTTCAGAAAAAGGCATGCATCTTTAACCCTTTGATGCAAATGGGACACCGGTGTTCCTTTTATATTTCTCTTCAGATGCTTTTATTACAAGTAAAAATATATTTTGGTGCTTTTTAATTATTGAGAAACAATCTAATAGTTACTTGAAAAAGTCTGTTAGATTATCGGAATTATATTTGTACTAAAATAGAAAAAAATTTGTTTGGAAGTAAACCATGTTTGGAAGATTTTACCTTTCATGCAGAAAAAGACGCCGACCATATAACCAAAAATTATTAAATTGCAAAATATGATATTTTTCACTTGTTTTGACCAAAATTAATACAAAATTACGAGAAAAAAAGTATGAAAAATAGGCTTAATAAAAATTCTATGTCAAAGTCTTTAAACATCTAAGTTTAAGAAAAATAGGATTACATTGTTTTGATATTCTATGTAATTCTTTTCATTCTCATAACATTAAATGAAAGTATGTATAACTATATATAAGTACAGTATTCTGAAATTTTGTTAATAGGTAAGGTTTTCATATAAAGCTTAGAACGCATTCCAATCAGAAGCTAAATGTCTTTAAATATAATTCAATATTTAAAAAAGGAAGAATTACTCACGAGTCTCTAGTTACCTTAATACTACAGTATATATTAATCGGCCCTTAAACGCGTAACCTAACCATTCGTACCAAATTTTAAAGTATTTTTATTATAAAATGCGAACAATACTTAGTATATATATTTCAAATCGTAAACTGCATTATTTTCTAACTATCAAGATTTAAAAAAAAATTATAATAATAAAATAAGCAAATAAAATGAGTAATGATCTCTTGAATACTTGTGTTACGGATGCACTAAGTTCAGACCAACGTTATGAAATACCATTCTAAAAAAATTATTAAAATATTGTTCGAAAGTAATTCAAAAATCATGATTAGTAGTTATTCTTTATGCTTAACTTAATATTTTATGCCTCTAAGTGTGTGCGACTTAGCCAGAAGGGTTGAAAACAGTGGCGTTGTTGTTGAAGCAAAACATATTTCCAAGTTATGGAATCTAATTTTAAAGAAAGATAATTGTACTATTAAACATAAGAAAACAAGTTCATTTACTGAAAAGTTCTGAAGTATAAAACAAAAGCTTAAAAGCGAAATAAATTTTTAACTATTTATTAACCTATAAAGTGTTCTGTAATGAACACCCTTAATATGAACCCAATCTTCTTTCCAAAAGCGTTTTTAAATTTTAACAGCTTAAATATTAACTTGCCACTCTTAATGTGTGCATTTTTTAACTTCCTTTTTTTGCAAGATTTCCTGATATATATACAAAGGGCAGTGATTATGGAACATCCTATATGCTGTAGGAAAGAGCTTAAACAAAATTTTCCGAAATATTGCCGCAACTACTTGACAGGTTAAAGAATAGTAGAGTACTTTTATACCTTCACAAATACCGAAGCTTACATAGCAGAACTTCAAACCACGAAATTTACCTAATAAAGATCTTCTCTTAAGTCGCCAACATTTGCCTTATGAATTCACCGAAGGAAATTCACGAAAGCTTTCATCCACAAATGGTGTTAGTCAGCATCGTAATTTAACATCCATCCATAATTGCCTTTCGGCTCTTATTTAGATCCAGTAATTTTATCTCTTTCATAATAATCTAGAAATATATACTAAAGGCAGTGATTTAAGAACACCTTGTGTTCTGTAAGTAAGAACATAAACAAAACTTCCCGAAAAATTAAAGCAACTACGCCACCGGTTAAAAAGAATAGTAGAGTACTTTTATACCTTAACAAATACCGAAGCTTACATAGCAAAACTTCAAACCACAAAATTCACCTAATAAGGATCTATCTCTAAAGCCGCCAACATTTGCTTTATGAATTCACAGAAGGAAATTCTCGTGAGCTTTCATCCACAGACTGTATTAGTCAGTATCGTAATTTAATAATCATCCATAATTGCCCTTTGGCTGTTATTTAGATCCAGTAATTTCATAACAATCTAGAAATATATTCTAAAAGCAGTGATTAAGAAACACCTTGCGTTCTGTAAGTAAGAGCTTAAGCAAAACTTCCCGAAAAATTGAAACCAACTACGCCACCGGTTAAAGAATAGTAGAGTACTTTTATACCTTAACAAATACCGAAGCTTACATAGCAAAACTTCAAACCACAAAATTCACCTAATAAGGATCTTCTCTAAAGCCGCCAACATTTGCTTTATGAATTCACCAAAGGAAATTCTCGAGAGCTTTCATCCTCAAACGGTACTAGTCAGCATAGTAATTTAATAACCATCCATAATAGCCCTTTTGGCTCTAATTTAGTTTACACAATGACCCAAATGGAAATATCTCTCTTTCATCAATACACTGTTTGACTCTCATTTCTAAATCAGAAACGAAGATGGAATAAAAATCCCCCCTCCTCCTCCTTTATTCCATTTTCCTGAATGATAACCCCATACCCTACTTCTCCTGATATATCCTGATTAGCGGTTTTAAATGATTTAAATATTCACCGTCGGTATTGTTTACAATAAAGATGGCATCGTGTGTTCGTCTTCCCCGGAGAAAGACCCCTCTACGTTATATTCTTATTGATCTGCGGTGATGCATTCAATAAGGGGGGAATGAAATGAGGGGGTGTCACAGATGAATGGATGTCCCTTTGCGGATCAGGGGCAAAGGAGGGCATAGGGTAAATTCAATAGAGGATGACTCATGTCTGAGAGGGAATCCACCATAGTTCATTCAAACCAATCTGATTCCTTTATGAAAGGAGGAATGGGTGCCATTGTTGGTTATGCCAGAACACTATTATGGTTTGAAGTCGGTGGGCGCTATAGGGTGCAGCAGAAGAGAGTTTGTTTGGAAAAGTTCTTTGTGGAAGTTATTGTGAAAACTAGAAGAATGAGATCTCTGCAGTTTAAAATATTTTCTGGAACAGTTCATATTTATATTTATTGACTATTTTGTGGAATAATATAAGAATACCAGACGTCATTTATATTTGAGTATGATTATGATTTATGCTTCAGACTTCTGTAGAATGCTTCCTGTTTAGTTTCAAAAATCGAATTTTTTTTAAAGACATGTCAGAATACGAATTTTAAACACCGCTTGTTTCCTTTCATCCTGTAATGTTTTCCTTTAAAAAAAATAATTATTATAAATCAGATGTGGAATTTGATTTAATACTATAAAACTTGATTTAATGTTACTGTAAACATTCATGTAACTCATTAACTGCAAATTATGAACACGCTTTTTTCCATAGTTTCTTTATTTACATAAAAAAATTAGTGTGTCTTTACAGAAAAATTCTTATAGATTAATTAAAATGTAGATAGGTGATTATTTAGCACTTACACGCAATCGTTAAAAATGGGAAAATTTTACGGTATTATATCAAGTTCGATTCAAATTCGGAGCTGTATTTGGCAAATGTTAAATTATCTAGGATATAAAGTTTTAAATTCTGTAAAATTCAATTTTCAAAAAGTAGTTTAAATATCTATAAAATTAATATTTCATTTGAATTTTTTCTTAACTATAAATAATTAGCTACTAGTTCCGCAACTACAAATTAAAAAAAGGCTTTTTTCCCATATTTTCTTGATTTACGTCAAGATAGCAGCTTAGTTAAACATAAATATTCTTATATATAAACTAAAATTTAGATGGGTGATAATTTCACATTTGCATGCAATCGATAAAGATGTTAAACTTTTACGGTATTATCTCGAGTTCAAAAAACTGACAAAAGTCGGAGTTGTATTTGACAAACGTTAAACTAACTAGGGTATAAAGTTTTAAATTCCGTAAAATTCATTTCTTAAAAAGTAATAATGTTTGAAATTAATCTTACAATTGAATTCTTTCTTAACTACAAAATAGCATGGCTTAGCATTTTTCTGGATTAATTAAAATTTAGAAGGGGGATTATTTAACATTTGTGTGCAATTGTTAAAGATATTAAAGTTTTAAAGTGTCTCTAGTCCCCAAACGGTTAATAGTTGAAGTTGTATTTGACAAATGTTAAACTATCAAGGTTTTAAAGCTTTAAATTCTATAAAAGGAAAACTCCTGAAAAATATTTTAAAAATATGTAAAATTAATCTTACATTTGAATTCTTTCTGGTGAGTAGTAGTTTAGTAGATTTTTGGATAGGTAGCTTAGGAATTGTTAAAAATATTCTGTTTCAAGGTTTTGTATAAATTTTGTTAACCTATTAATAAAAATTATTAACAAAGTTATCTTTCTATATCGTACTTGATTTTAGCAGTAAGAAGTGTCTTAAGACTCATTTATATATAATCTGTTCCTCAAGAAAATATGAAATCCACAACCTTTCGTAAAATACTGATATGTTTTAAACATCGCAACAATATTTAAAAAATATCGAATCTATACTTATCGGCAACTATAATATGGCACTCGCTATCAACAACAGTGAATACCGAATAAGATAATACAATTATTATCAATTATTAACGAATGTGTTATTATTTTAATAGTTGATAAATTTTATTTAGGTAACAAAAATATTGACCAATGCAAAAATAGTGCAAATTTGTCAAATTGAAAAAAATATCGCAATTTATCGAGATATATCGATATTTCCTTCCTGGTGATTAAATTCATACTATCATCCAGTTCTTCTTCTTTTTTTTTTTTGTTCTTTTTTTTTCCTTTAAAGTAACATTTTCGTTGCGAAAATTTATTTTTGTAGTTCCTGTTATTATATCTACAAGTAAAAGACAAGAATTTATTATGCTGTTTAATTTACATTTATTATATACTTATTCTATTTTTTAATAA